TTGTACACCTATGGATGAGGACAGTGGGTGGGGAGTGAGGGTGGAGGGTGGGTGGGAACTGGGTGGAGGGGAGTTATGGGGGAAAAAAGAGGAAAAAATGTAATAATCTGAACACTAAAGATTTAATTTAAAAAAATAAATAAATAGAAAGACAAAAAAAAGAGAAAATATGACTTTGAATAAACATATAAACAGCTACGATGAAAGAAGTCAGCCAAAATATACCAAGCAAAAAAATTAAATTAAATTAAAGCAGAGAGAATATTCCGAATTAAGTTCTTACAAATGAATTATCTTTAGATGGGTAAGGACATTAAAGTTTGTTAAAAAAAATTTTCTTTTATTCTAAACATTTAGAGACCCTTTACAAAGTTTTGATTTAACAACTTAAAATGTTTAATGAAAAGTTAAATTCTTTTCTCATGTAACAAAGAAGTAGTCTATTCATGGTTTCAAGTTATATTATCCATTTATTCCAAAGTGAAATCAACTACTCTTGAATGATAATCATTCATTCATTCATACAAAAGGGCTCATAATGAAAGGAGTTAAGTTTTTAAATTATGTTCTCAGAGCTTCACGGGCTCCTCTTAGGAACGTACTGTCCTGTTATTTTTTATTAGACTGTTGCATAAAATTATGTTTGTACAAAGATTTCATTCCTAAAAAGAATTTTTAGTTTAAAAACCATCACCATAAATCTAAAAGATATTAGTCTTATTCAGAGCATTATCAAGAGAAATGAGGATATTTAGGCCAGGTAAAAGTTCTGAAAATAACATACAACTGTACTTGGTAATAAGAATTCGAAACCTTCACATCATATTTTAATGCTCCCAACTATACACTAAAAGTAGAATAAATAAAGTAAATATATCAGAAATATCCCAGCCTTGCCCCCATAAGACTGTCAGCTAATTTATCAACAGAAACTTTGCAGGCCATAAAGGATTGTCAAGAAATATTCAAAGTGAGGAAAAGTAAAGCTATCATCCTATATAATAAAGAGCTAATATGCAAATGGTCATCATGCCCTCGCACTGGGGCCAGGGGACCTGAAGCTGTGCTGCCCACCATGGCGCCAGGGTCAAGGGACCTGAGGCTGGGCTGGGGGACCTGAGGCCGCACCCCCTGCCCTAGCGCTGGGGCCCTGAGGCCGGGCCAGGGGACCTGAGGCCAGGCCCCCCGCCCAGTGGGGCTTGATGGGGAGTGGGGCTGGCCGGGTCTGGGCCTTGTGCAATTTCGAGGCGTACGCAGGTGGGCAGAGACTTGACTCTGGGTCCCGCGGCACGCCCCAGACTCTGACAGGAGGGAGATTTTCATATACATTTTATTAATTTTCTTTCATCTCTGACACTTCTATTATAGAGAAAGGGCAAATAGCAATATTAAAATAATTCCTCTAATTAATTCCCTTTTAATGTGCACGAATTTCGTGCAACGGGCCCCTAGTCTATATATATAAAAGCCTAAGTCAGTGGTTCTCAGCCTGTGGGTCGCGACCCCTTTGGCGGTCAAATGACCCTTTCACAGGGGTCAGCTAAGACCATCCTGCATATCAGATATTTACATTACAATTCATAACAGTAGCAACATTACAGTTATGAAGTAGCAATGAAAATAATTTTATGGTTGGGTCACAACATGAGGAACTGTATTTAAAAGGCCAGAAGGTTGAGAACCACTGGCCTAAGTGACCTTTCAACCGTTCAACTGGTAGCTATGACGTGCAATGATCACCAGGGGGCAGATACTCAATGCACAGGCACGGAAACATGAACAGACTGATGAATCTCAGAGGGAAAGGGGGAGGGCGGGAAGAGATTAACCAAAGATCTTATATGCATACTGGAGGCCCGGTGCATGGATTCGTGCAGCGGTGGGGGCCCTTGGCCTACACTGCAGGGATCGGGCCAAAACTGGCAGTCCAACATCCCCCAAGGGGTCCCAGACCGCAAGAGGACACAGGCCAGGCCAAGGGACCCCACCAGTGCACGAATCAGTGCACTGGGCCTCTAGTCCTATATAATAAAAGGCTTATATGCAAATAGACTGAACGGCGGAACATCCGAACAACTGGTCACTATGATGTGCGCTGACCAACAGGCAGCACATGCAGAACCTGGTGGGTGTCAGCCGCAGGCGGCAGAGCACAGAACATGGTGGGTGTCGGCCACGACGGGATGGTGGAGGAGGTGAGCGGAGGCGCCAGACCAAGGCAGGGCACCAGTCACTATCATCGGGGCGAGCATCTGGTGGTTACTGAAAATTCCACCTGGCACTCGCACCTGCTGCTGGCAGCAGCCCCGCTCGCACCCACTTCCGGAGCCGCCGCTACACCCGCTACCGGTGCCAGCCCCAATCGCTTGGTGCCGTCAGCTGGAGTGGCAGCTGCCAGCCCCAATAGCCCCTCAGGGCTTCTTCACCTACCCCTGCTCCTGAGGGGAGATCTGAGCCAGCAGCTGGCTCTCGCACCCGCTGCCAGTGCCAGAGCCGCTGCTGGACCCACTTGCACCCACTGCTGGCGCTGGCTCCAATCACTCCACGCCATCAGTGGGTGCAAGTGGGGCCAGAGCTGTCAGCACGTGGGAGCGGCAGCGATGGGAGCGGAGATGCCGGCAGAAAGGAGACCGGGGACCGTGGCAGGAGGGGCCAGGTGGGGGCGGGGAGGATGGGCTGAGACCCGTCTGTGTCTACTGCAGCCTCGAGGCCCATAGTTCCTTTCAAGGTGCACGAATTCGTGCACTGGGCCCCTAGTTTAGAAAAAAATGACAGATAAAGAACTTCCCAGACAAGAAAAAGCTAAAGGAGTTCATCACCATTAAACTAGTACTATATGAAATATCTGAGTCTTGTTTAGGAAGAAAAGAAGATAAAAAATATGAACAATAAAATGGCAATTAGTACAAATCTATCAGTAATTGACTCTAAAAAAACAAAATAAACGAACAAGCAGAACAGATATAGAGAACATTTTGACGATTACCAGAGGGTCCTGGGGTTGGGTGTAAGGGTGAAAAAGGTGAAGGGGTTAAAAAGTACAAATTCGTTATTACAGAATAGTCATGAGGGAATATAGCCAATAATATTCTAAGAACTATGTATGGTGTTAGATGGGTGCAAGATTTATTGGGATGATCACTTAGTAAGTTATGTAATGTCTAATCACTGGGGTGTACACCTGAAACTAATATAATAATGTCAAGTATAATTGAAAAATAATAATGATTTAAAATTGGAAATAAAAAAAAGAAATATTCCAGGCTCTGTCACTGACTAGCTATATGTATTCTTGGCTTATTTAATTAACTTCTCTGAGACTCAGTTTCCTCTTTTGTTATTATACCTCGTTTTACAAAGCTGTTTTAAGATAAAATAAGATAGTGCATTTAAAGCACCCAACACAATAGCTGAAAGCATTCAGTAATAAATGATAGATATAATCATTACTAAAAAAATATTTCAGATCTTTAGAAGAAAAAAATTATTCTAGTAGATTCACCTATCTGCTTTTTAATAAGGGGAAACAGATCAGAAAAATAAGCCATTATATTAATTGGCTCCTCTGTTTCATCCTTTGAGATAACATAAAAATGATTTTTTTTTCCATCTTCAAAGCAGATAATTACTAATGGCTATACTATGGGGACCTGGGAAAGATTTTGTTATCACTGTAGCATTCTCGTAAGATGCTCAGGTTACTTGAAAAGCCAATGAGTACTGGTATTTTGGATTAAGCATCTGATTATATAACAGGATGAACAATAGAAATAAAACTGTTTTACTTCAAAAATGTTTTTAACATAAGAAATAAAATCCCTCTGCATTTAAGAGTTTTAAATTCTGACCATTTAACTTATTTATCTCTGTTGTCTTTGGTTTATGTTGTTTCCTATACTCAACAGCCCTTTCTCTGTCAGTAAAAATCCTATTCTCATTCAAGATCAATTTCAAATCTAATCTCCAGCATTCGTGTGATCACCTGACAGTGGTCAGTTAATCATGCTACTGAACACACGGCACATATTATCATTCACAGCAACTATCTGTTGTCAAGTCCTTTAAAGTTCATAATGCATTTTCAAATTTTATCTTATTTGTACTTCAAAAAGCTCTGACTAAAATAGTGCAAGAATTAAAAATTTATCTCCAAATGGCTGATTCCTCGTCTAGAGAATGCACTAAATAAGAAAAATAAAAGTTCCATTTTAATAATATGAGAAAACTAAAGTGTAAAGACTTGATAAAGACTACAAAAATCTCAAGACTAACATCTCTAAATCATCCTACTTATTGCTCAGGCTGAAGTCTTTCTCTCTGCAGTAGGAAACTTAAAGAGTAAGTGCCACTGTCCTTACTGCAAGAAGTTTCAAGAATTCAGACTTTTCCTATGAATAAAGTCCATGTGTTTTGTAAAACCTGACTTAAGACCACTATTTTTTTCTCCATGTTTCTTTTGGTTCTTACCTATTTTTTATTTTTATGGATTGACTTGAGAAAGAGACAGAGGGGGGAGGAGAAAGGGGGAGAAGGAGGGGAAGAGAGAGAGGGAGAAGAGAGGAAGAAGGAGAGAGGGAGAGAAAAAGAGAGAGGTTTGTTGTTCCACTTATTTATGAATACATTGGTTGATTCTTGTATGTGCCCCAACAGGGGATCCAATCTGCAGTCTTGGCATATTGGGACAAAGCTCTAACTAACTGAGTATCCGGCCAAAGCTGGTTCCTACCTATTTTAAAAATTAGATTTCTACAAGTGTCACAAGTAAGTGATACCCAAAGAAGTGAATATCAAATAAATGTTATCTAAATAGAAAAGCATTTTAGGCACTAATATTACTATTAAAACATTGGGAGAGATTTGGTAAATTTTCTACATTGATTTGTTAGAAAATAATTTTTAAAAAGTCCCAAAAATCTTGTGTATCTCTATTTAGTCAAATATTTGAAATATTTCAAAATTGCTAATATACAAAGCATAAATGCTTTGATTACAGGTAATTTTCAATTTTATAAAATTTTTTCATAGCAAACTATTTTATATTGTAGGTTAATGAAGAGCTTTGTTATTAGTATACAATCAAAGAACTTTAACTCTTCTTCAATAGGGACATTTCATTACTCCTTCAAAGGGCATTTAGTGAATACTAATTATATACAAATTTATTATAACCACTTTATAATAGTACTCTATAATCATACTTATCATATGTAAATCATTAAATTAGTAGAAAGATACTAAGCTAATTAAAACATTAACTATAATCACATACTTTTCACACTCGTCATCATAGAAGGTAATTAGTACTTCTTTTAACAGAGTATTCAGGTTATCAGAGGACTTCTCTAACTTATGGAAATTATTTTCAGCGTATGTTTAGTGCAAGTAAGAACAATCTCAAAGTCAATTAGCCTACATCATTAAAAGGAAGAAGTAAAATATTCTATCATTAAGTAAGATTTAAAACGACCCAAGAAAGGCATGCAAGATTAGCACCATTCTACTTTACTATATAAAAAAACTTAACATGAAGACAAGACTTCAAACAGAAAGTCTATTTCACATGCATATTCACCAAGTTTCTTCTTATAATTTTTTTTAAAAATACTAAAACCAACCTGTTATAGAAAGTGTCGGTCCCCCTTGGTAATGTGATAATCCTGTATCCTGGGTCAAGTCAAACAGCAACTCTGTAGAATTACTAGATGCAACTCGTGATGAGTTTGTTATGTAACCCTGTTAAAATATTTCAGAGGAGTATTACATTTATTCAACACAGTTATAATTATTCTGTTTCATACTTTTATAAAAGTAAATTTAACTGCAATATTATAAGACTAACCTTTGATGACTCAATTACTTTTGCAATCCGGAACCACTGGTTCCTAACTGCTCCCCGCCTGCCTGCCTGCCTGCCTGATGCCTCTAACTGCTCTCCCACGCCGGCCTGATCCCCTGAATGCCTAACTGCTCTCCCATGCTGGCCTGATTCCCCCTAACTGCTCTCCCCTCCTGGCCTGATGACCCTAACTGCCGCTTTCTCCCTTCTCCCTTCTGCCTTCTCCCACGGTGCCGGCCTTCTCCCTTCTGCTTTCTCCCACAGTTTCGGCCTTCTGCCTTCTCCTGCAGCATCTGCAAAAGGGACTGCGGCGACAGACTGGCCCTCGGCCCTCACAGTTGTCGCGGCTGCCGGCCCTCAGAAGGATGTCCAGAAGGACGTCCAGTCTAATTGGCATATTACCCTTTTATTAGTATAGATGGTATGAGTTTTAGAATCATCTTTATTGGAAAAATGTATAAGCCAAAGATTAGGAAGAGAAAGAATGGGTTCTTCACTCTTCCCACCATCCCACAGAAACCTATGCTGGGCCAGGTAATCTCCCATCTCACAGGGTAAAGACAAAAGCTGCCTGATCGGCAAAGTGAACAAATAAGAAAACCTGGCAGAGAGGATTTACAATGAAAGTTGTTTAAAAGAATGATCTAGGCCAGCTGGAGACCTTACGGCTCAAGGGAAGTTCCAGCCTTTTCATGAGGATGGTCCCAGTAAGCAGAACGATCTCAAGAAGAGTAAAAAGTATGAGATGAATCATGTGATAAAGTATAAGGCAGTATAAATTTACATTAACACACATATGTTTAGTATAACTAATTATGAAAAGTGTGGTCTATATAATTTAGAGATATATACTCCAATACTATTATATATTAAATATACACACAATATATTCGAACGCTATTTATAAAAGATCATCATTGAGGAGAATAAACTCTGTGACTTCTGGATCATTCTACACATCATAACATTTAACATGCAAAAGCTTTAAGATTAGCAATGCTTAAAAATCTAAAGGGGCCCTAGAAGTTTGGCTCAGTGGATAGAGGGTCCCAGGTTCGAATCTAGCCAAGGGCACATGCCCAGGTTGTGGGCTAGATACCTTCCCCAGTAGGGGGCATGTAGGAGGCAGCCAATCAATGATTCTCTCTCATCATTGATGTTTCTATCTCTCTATTTCTCTCCCTTCCTTTCTGAAATCAATTAAAAAAAAAAAACTAAAGGGAAAAAGTCACTTTAAGAATGGGCAAAGGACATAAACTGAAACACTTCAAAAGCAAAATACAGCCTGGCCGGTGTGGCTCAGAGGTTGAGCATCAACCTATGAACCAGGAGGTTATGGTTCCATTCCCGGTCAGAGCACATGCCTGGGTTGCGGGCTCGATCTCCAGTGTGAGCCATGTAGGAGGCAGCTGATGGTGATTCTCTCCCATCATTGATGTTTCTATCTCTCTCTCCCTCTCCTTTCCTCTCCCTGGAAATCAATAAGAACATATATTTTTTAAAAAAGCAAAATACAAATGACCAATACATAACAAAAAACTTTTTTCCAATTTACTAGTCAAATAAATGCAAATAACGACAATGGTAACTTTTAAGTACTGAACTGG